TCAGAAAAGGTACTATTGAAGAAAATCGAAGCACTTTTACTGTCCCAAAACGTGATGACAGACACAAAAAAAAATATAAAAATATAAAAATATAAAAACACACATCATTGTAAAACCAATACATTCATCGCTCCGCTCAGAATCTAAAAATAATTATAGTAAAATAATTATAGGTATATCTTATTTTTATATAGACTTCGGCAATCCAGAATTCGTATTCGTACACACAGAAAATATTAAATTTTCAGCGTATAGGATTGTTTTAAAATTTCAATGTGTATAATATATTAGTATTTACTGAAATAATTTATATTTTGAACTTTTCATAATAAAATTATACGGTAAAGTTCAGTGCCAATTCCGATAGTGGTTTATTACTTTAAGCGTTAACGTTATATATCGAAGCACATGTAGGTATATGCAGGTGTACACTATAATACTTCTAGATACAAATGTTGTAACATGTAGTTCAAACTACAAAAGAAAAATATAAGACAACTTGTTCAAATAGGTACCTTGGTGTTTTTCTCGATTAAAAACTTAGGTATATGGAATATGAATATCCACATAAACAAAAACCTAACAGTAATTTATAACCAGCTATTTACGTGGAACCTTGTTTTAAATTTTCTATCCTTAGCTATAAAAGTTGAACATTTTACATTTTAAACTGCAAAATAATTACCTTTTACCTAAATTTTGTTGAAATTCGAACTTTAAATGCTTATAAAAAAAATTGTGCCTATGTATTTTTGATATTTTTCAACTGCTATTGTAACAATATATCAGGAGCCTTGCATTACTTATATAAGTTCACGCTTTTTTACCCAACAAATAAAATTTTATTGATATTTATAGGAAAAAAAACTAAAAAAAATGGAAACCGAAAATGTCCGTAAACGGCTCGAAATAAGTCAAAATATTCGGAAAATGTTATGGTGTATCGAAAATGCTAATATAAACATTCAGTGACATTTTCAAGTATCTACAGTCATTCGTTTTTGAATTACAATAAAATAAGGAAATCATTACATGAGAAATCGAGTGAACATCAAATCGATGATTGAATAATGAATATAATTTTAGACCAGTAACTATAATATAGTTTAGTAAAAATGGTATTCCCAAGACTAATTTTCCGACAAATGCACATCGTAATATTTATAGTTAATAAAACATTCGTTATTACTAATTAGTAATTACGTACGGAGTACGGACTACAAAGGGTCTGCCTACCTGAAAACATACTGCGTGTCTCACGCATAAAATACATACTTACAAGCGTTTCTCTAGGGTAATTAATAATTGTGTGTGAAAATTTAATACAAGGTTCGTGATTTATTATTATATTATCAGTTGAAAAATATTAAAAATACACAGATACACATTTTTCTTATACCTAAGCATTTAACATTCAAATTTTGACATTTTTTTTTTTTTTTTTTTTTTTTTTTATTTATTTAAGTAATTTACAATCTATACAACATTATGTACAATGGGCAAATTTGATAGTTAATAATGTGAAATAACAGAGTTTAACATTTAAGGGCAGGCACTCAGCAGCACCACCCGATTAATTTTGACATTTAACAAATTAAAAATTTATTTTATAGTTAAAATTTTATATGTTCAACTTCTATAACTAAGGATTGAACATTTAAAACAAGGTTCCACGTAAATAGTTCAGCCCCTCATCCCTCTATATATCAGTCCCTATAACCAGTAGGAGAATATATTTATTTATGTTGTATATCAACAGGTATATACCCTTTTACAAATTATATAATGGAAACATATCAGATAAAAACTAAAAACTAAATAAGTGTAGTAAAACCTAACAAAAACAGACAAAATAATATAAAAATAACTCTGAGATAAAAGTAATAAATATATAAAATTATAGTTACATTATAAACTTCTTTTTTTTTTTTCATATTAATCAATTAATATTTTTTAATAATAACATAGATTTAGATTTAAAACAATTGCGGGAGAGGAAAAATATATCTAAATGTATACAAATTTTATTAGCTAAAATTAAAGCTCGAGGGAAAAAAGAATCGGTACCACTATTCGTTTTATAATGAGGAACTAAAAATAAATCTGAATTACGTGTAATTAGATATGGAATTCAAAAGCTGATTTCAGACAACAGTTCGGGACACACAATATTGTAATTAATAAGATCATAGACAAACATAATATCAGTTAATTTCCGTCTAAGTGAAAGAGAAAACAAGGCCAATATAATCTTGAATGGAGAGAGTCCTTAGATAATGGAATATTTGACAAGTATGAAATCCTTTTTAAAAATTTATATTGTACATTGTCCAAATCATTTATATATGTCAATTGTCAAGTATTTGCATGACCAGATTACGGAGCCGAAATCAAGATTGGATCTAACTAAAGATGTATACAAGGTTTTTAAGCATAATGGATTTTTAAAATCTATAGTATTTCTATTAATAAAGCCTAACATCTTAAACGATTTATTAATTATCATATTATGGTTCGTTTTAAAAGAAAGATCACTTTCAAAATAAATACCAAGATCTTTGATTACATTTACTCTAGTGAGAGAACACATTTCAATATTTTAGTTAAAAAAGATAGGATTTATTTACGTGTAAATGTTATCGTATGACATATATCAATATTTAATGGTAATAAATTTAATTTACTCCATAAATGAAATTTATTAAGATTATACTGAAGAGATTCAGCATCACTTAAAGAATTAACTGTACAGAAAATCTTCGCATCATCCGTAAATAATAAAATGTTTATAGAACAATCAAGGACTAATGGGAGATCATTAATAAAAATTAAAAATATATGATATGTTTACAGCTAATACATATGCACCAGTCATAGTGGTGTATTAATCAATATTAAAATATTATAACAAAATACTTTAATTTAAATTTTGCACAATTGAATACAAATACAAACATTACATATTATGATCACGATTTATTGAAAAAAATAATAATAATAATAATAATCAATAAAAATATTGATAACATTTTAAACATTATTCTAGCTTTGGCCTTTGCTACCACCAATCGTCTATTGGATTTATTAAATATGTAAGATATTAACTATTACTAACTATGCCCTATAAAATAA